CCGCGGACGAGCCACAGACGAAGGCCAGTCGGAGCGCGGCCATCCCAGACCCCGCGCCGCCGGCCTCCGGCCCGCGGGCATGCTGGCATGGCAGGACGGCGGGGCCAAGGCGGCTCCCTCCCCCCACAAGATCTCCTTCTCTGTCCTGGACATCCTGGACCCACAGAAATTCACCCGAGCGGCGCTCCCGGCCCTGCGCGCTGCTCCCCGGGAAGCCAAGAAAAGTTTGGCAGAGTCCGAAGCGGGGAAGGACGGCAGCTCGGGGGACCAGGCGCGCCAGCGGGAGACCCCTGGTAAGGATGCGAGGAGGCCCCGGCTCCGGGAAGCCCCAGCTCAGATGATGCGATGGAGGGGTGTGTGTGCGTGGGGTGGGGAGGTGTGTGGGGTGGCAGCCAGGGACCCGGGAATGGCCGCACCGGCATCTTCTCCAAAGGGAAATGTTGCACAGGACGGGGTGGAATTAGACTGAGGCAGGAAGGCGGCCTCCAGGATCCCAGGTGAGGGATTTGCCACCGAAGCCCCCTCTGCTCACCCGCGGCGCGAGCGAGGAAGCATCGCAGCTCTGATTTGCTCGCGGTGGAAGCTGACACCCAGCGCCCACCTTGTCCAGTCTCATTCATTTATCCGGCGTTTACTGCTCCCGCCACGTGCCAGGACCTGAGCTAGAGATAAGAGCAAGACAAACTGCAGAACCTGCGCGACAGCGTTAACAACATCGGCCCCATTTTACAGACGAGGAAGCTGAGGTTAATCAGGTGTCGAGGTCTTAGTGAGTATGGAGGTCGCGTTACCCACCGGTGCCCACCTCCGACCACCCAGGGCCACTCCAGAGACTCCTCGGCCCCTGCGCTCACAGTGGGGCGGGGGCGGGGCGGGGCCCCATGACGGGGGTTTGGTCCCTTCTCCTCAAACCCTTTTCGGCTTCTCCTCGCTCTGGTGGACGCCTGATGGGGGGCCCAGGAAAGTTTGCGTCTGGAAGGAAGGACAACAGACACCAGGGCCGTGCTGGGTGGGGAATGGGCACGGGGCTCCCTGGAGGGACGCCGAGGGTCAGGGGCGCAGGGTCGGGAGAGGCTGGATGCGGCGCATCCTCCCGCTTCCCCTCCCCAAGTTTGGCGATGATTGTCTGGGGCTCGGGGCGCCTCTGGCGGCTGCGCTGGGGCCCGGGCGGTCAGCTCGGTAATTGTCAGGATCGCCCCTCCGAGGGGCCGCGCTCCCCCCACCCCCCATGATCGATATTCTATTACTGGCTACTGCATATCTCCTGCCTACAGCTTGCAGGTACCGACTTCAAACCCCCTTTCCCTGTCTGATCCTAATATTGTTCGATTAAAACTTACCTTTAATAGATGACATCTATCGATCCACCCCGCACAAATCTGAAACTCTATTAACACGGCAGGAGAGAGAAGATGGGAAAGGGGGAATTTCACTTTAAAGGGGGGCTTAATAACTTCTTTTTTAATTGCTAGGAGTCCCAGACCAAAATAGGCTTCTGGTGGCTGGGGAGACGCAGCCCTAAACGCACTTGACGCCTGGATGTCTTAATGTGCAGTGGTCCCCCCTCCCCATAAGGTTGTCCAATAAGGTTATTATGTTTTTTTTAATGCGGCGTGTCATTCATGCAAAATGCACGTCGTGGAGGCCTACTGGGTGACAGATGAGTAAAAGGCAAGGGGACACTGCACCCCTAAACTCCGACGCCGAGAGGGCTTGCTAAGATGTGTGGTCTCGGGAAGGGCCTGCTAGGTGAATTGGGGCCGGACTGGAGGACGCGCTGCGTGGTCCGGGGACCGGCCCGGCCGGGCGGTTCTGGGCTTCTGATCACGGCCCGCTTCTCCCCCAGGTGACGCGGGCAGAGGCGCGGAGGCGGCGTCCCCCCTGGAGGGCTCCGAGGCGGAGGAGGCGCAGGACGCGGAGGATGCGGGAGGGCGGC